ATACCTATTTACTCAAGATGGAAGGACAAAAAATTACCTTATGCCGGTGAAGTTAGAGTCTTTAACTATGCTTATAGCTAACTAGATGTAATTTTAATATTTCATCTTGTTCTTAGGTAAATTAATCGAAATGTTGTGCATAATGATTTGGTTACTATGCATAATGATGTAAGTCTATGTGAGCATGATATGCCTAATCGGATTGAGAACTTTGTAAATTGTAATTCACCATCGAGGTTTGATATGTATGTTGATGTTGATGTTGATGTTTCTTACATTATCAATCAAAATGACTTAAACGAGCAAGAGGTCACATAAATTGATAGGGTTAGACTTGATCATATTGATTCAATTGTTACTCGATATAAAGAGCGTTGAAGAGGCTGCTACCGTGGATGGTATGCTCGACTTAAGGGTTGTTTTGGATGGTGGACTCAACTTAGGGGTTGCCATGATCAATGAGAATGAATTAGGGACTTGTCGTGAGTAGAGGAGTTGGTTTTAGTGCTATTAAGAGTAGAGAAGTTGTTATGGGAGTTGTTGAATGTAAGACAACTCCAATGCTTTTTGATGAGTTGACAATAGAAAGTTGCAATTTGAAGTCTTGAAGTCTTAGAAGCCAACAACTTATAAGGAGGGAGACTTAGTATGGGTTAGCATAAAGAGGAAGAAGCTTTCCCATTGGAGATATGTTGAACTAGAAAAAGTGGAGGGTTCTTTTCATGATGTGAAGAGAGTGGGGGAGCATGCATACAAATTAGATCTTCATAGAAATTACCTAGTATCCGTCACTTTCAAAGAAACGAATCTTCTACCTTATCGTGACAAAGAAGAAGAAGTCAAGACATCGAGGACGACTTCTTTTCAACCCAAGGAGTAGTATGATACCGAGTGTTTTCTAGCCCTTAGCTAGATATTTCATTGCCTTAGTGATCGAATACTCGGCTCATTTATCTTAATTGTTTGTTGTTATTTTATTTATTTTTCCCTATTTTGGGTTGCATTATTATTTGGTTTGGATGATTTTAATATTTGAACTTGGCTAATTTAATTAGTCCTCGTAAATTAGGGATTCCTTATTTTGAAAGGAATGATCAAATAGGAATCCATATTTATTTAGGATTCCTTATTTTATATGGAGCCATATTTATTTTAGAAGTCCAAATATTATGTATATCCTTATTTAATATCGACTAACTTAATTAAAAGTCCTCATTAAATAATAATTGCATAAAAGTCCAATTATAGTTAGAATTATTTTTTCTCTTTAATTTTGACATGGGCTAGTTTTTGTAATCTAATTAGCCAAGTTTTTCTAACCCTAGCTAAATTTTTCTAGTCTAGTATTTAAGCATCTTTTTCTTCTTTTATAACAAGGTGAGATTTTTTATAATAAACTTTTGTGAGATTTTTTTACCACCGCAATTTGCATTTCTTATGTAACATAGGATGTGCATTTTCTATATCTTTAGAGGGATCAACTAAGATGGTGCTACGATCATCCGTGACAAATCTTTTAGGTGGTGTATGTGTATCCTCATGGTTTTGGTATACTTACCCACATAAGTTCAATGCAATCTACATAGTTAGGTCTCAACTTACAACTTTATTTTTATTTTGTTTAGACTTGTGATGATCATTGAATTATATATTACGAGTCTTAAATTGTTGGTTTTGAAGAGTTAAGGTTTTTGAAATTTTCCTTGCTATTGTTTGTGAGCTTCAACCTAGATCAAAAAATGATATTTGTTTGTTTTAGATTTTTGATTACTTATTCTACTAGACCTAATTAGGGTTTAGTTAAAATTACAAACAAAATAGACATGAATAGCCTAGGGTTACGCCTTGTTGGGTTTGTTTGTGGTTTTGGGTTTTGCGTGAGTTTGAGCCTTGTGGTTGCCAAAGTTTTGCTTTTTATTTTTGTCTTGTTGGTTATGTTTGATTATCTTTTGCATATTGATTGCATCTTCGCTTGACCAGCATCATTGAATTGAATTGCTTAGTTTGACCAAAAACTTAGGGATTTGACCACCTAAGTGATTTGGGTCGACGCTAAAGATCGAATCTATAAGAATCCAATCAAAACGGGTAAAACTCGACTAGTTGGACCAATAGATCAATTTTAATCCAATTTAAAGAAACATTGTAACTAGTGAGATTTAAATTTAGAACCTCCACCTTTTTAAAATTATACACTTACCATTTCACCATTTTTTTAATACTTGGAATCTTACAAAAAAAATATATACATATAATACATAACAAATGACCCAACGGTGCCACTTGTGACTCGGTTACCTATTAACTTGACCAAGTGGGTATTTGTTTAAGATTTAATAACATTGTGATAGGCACTGCAAAAGGCATGTATGAGGAGAGGATGCATTCTTCATTTCTTCCTACACGATAATTATTGATTTTTTTTTATTAGAACTTTGATGAATATTTTGAAATTTTAATACTTATAACATAAATACAATGGTTGTGTTTTTTTTATATTTCACCTAGTCTTTATAGCCTCTCCAAACATTTTAAAAAATTAAGTTCATTTTACATCCTTAACAACTAATATAACATTTATTCTTGTAATAATTCACTTTATATTTTAAATCCTGTACCAAACACATTCTTAAGGCATCCATTATTTGTGCTTAAAAATTATAAATTACGGGATTAACAACTAGTTACAGAACTTATCAAGGCTAAATACAAATTATTTAACAATTGTATGAGAAATTAATTAAGGTTGTTTTGCAATTAAAAAAATCATTTAAATAGATTATTTAATTTATCAAATAAAAAAATTAAAAGAGTAAACAATCGATATTTTTATATTTTGCATTATCTTTCTAATTAAAGTTCGTTTATTTTTTCTGAAAATAGAAAATAGGTTTTCTGAAAATAGTGAAATAATTAGACATGTTATGAGTCATTTTTTTGTAACTATCTGTGTAGACATTAAATATTTAAATAGGACTACCTATACAGTGTCGTAAGACTACTTTTGAGTGTAATTAAGAAACTGGCATGAATTTGATAATCGCATACTAAAAGTAAATAATAAAAAAAAAAAAAAATGACGATCCAGTCACGTGAATTTGGAGGGAAAATAAAAATAAAAAAAATAGAAAATTAAAGATTCGAAATCTTACCTTATTGCTCTCAAAAGAATAAAGAAGACTTCAATCACCGGAGCATAGGCCAATGCAGGAAATCCCAAGAACTGTCGATCAAGGAGCCAACTAAACTAGCATTATTGAGAGCCTTAGCGTAAGAAAGTAGTTCAGGAAGAGCTACAACAAAATCTTATAATGAACTCTTGTCTTGTAAATGTGTCTCTCCCTACCTCTAGATTTGCTGTCTTGCAAGAAAGAGCAGTTCCTCTTTCTATATATAATTGCGCATTCAAGCCAAAGGAGCTAATATAATTATGGAGCGCCTACAGAATCGAAGCCTTTAAGGAAGGAGTTGGTCAGTGCTTTACTACTCCAGCAGGAGCCCTGTCCTCTCTATCGGGTTCACGCTGAAAATGTTTTGGAAATATGTGGGAGTCACTATCAGCCAGAGCCAGGTACTGCTACCTGTCAAAAATTAATCTTTCATCTTAAGCGATCCATCTCTTCTTCATTGATTTAATTTATAGAATGGAGTAGCAATATAAAAGGTCTAATGCCTAGGATAATAGTTAGTAGCCAGGCCCTCTACAGCCATGAACAACAGAAGTATATAAAGGAGGGAGGGCAAGAGACAAGATGCCATCAGTGAATAACTCGTGTGTTTATCATATTATGGATTTGATTTGAAGTAGAAGTGTTTCAATGATACAATATTATCCTCGTCTCTATCTTAATTCCGATGCTAATGTTGGTTGAGTTATAGTTTATTTACAGAGTCTTATTATTAGAGATTACAAATTTCTTGAGTTTAAAACCCAATAGAATTTACTAAATTCGATTGGGCCAGATGCGCTTTTAAATTTTTTTTTTAAAAAAAATATATAGTTCCAGCTGATATACAAACTGTGCAACGTGCGAGGATATTCAGTATCGTCAAATAAATTCACAAATTTCAATAGTTATCTTAAAAAACGAAGTTTTCCAGGTCTAACACAAATCAGTAAACCAGCCTATTGACGTAGAGCAGAACGAAAAAAAGACAAACATCAGTTTAGTCCCAAACCTATATATCCATTCTCAATTGTATCCCAAATCTACAAATGTTATCAATTAAGTTCCAAACATTTTTCACATTTCTCAGTTATGTTCTTTTGTCAATTTCTCTTAACAATTTAAGTTTAATTTGCATATTTTATGAACTAAAATGATGTCCATTTGAAAAAAAAAAAAAAAAAAAAGTTAGATGAAAAAGTTAATGAATGGATCTAATATGCATAGTTATGCACTACAAAGGCATCAATTTGAAGAAAATTTGACATAAATGCTCTCCCGAACCTTAACAAAAAGACTCATCTTTTAAACAAAACTTATAGATTTGGGACGTCTAGAACTCAATTGATCATGAATAGATAGGATTGGGAATAAATTAAGGTTTCCCCTATAAAGAACTAACATCCTCGCTTTCTTCTTCTGAGTTGTTCTGCCAGACTGGTTCCTCAAGCCCTTCCTATAAAGATGCTGCAGCACATTCATCTTCTGCCTCGTAACAAAAAAGCTCGTCATAATTCAACAGCCCAGCTAGATTTTGGCTTCTATCGGTAGCCCCTGCTGAAAATGCAACTATGGGGGTGTTGCGTAAAGATGGATTTCATCCTAACAATTTATTAAATAAAAACTTCGATTTTCGCATGATTAAACTTTAAAGTGGATGGATGAAGAATTTTCAAAAAAAAAAAAAAAAATCAATCTTGTCATTTAATGCTCTAATCACTATTACAACAATTCTACATAGTGATTTACATTATTCAGTTCCTAATTTTCCGAACCCCTCAGCCTACACATCAACAAATGTTGGAGGGGGAGGACAATGACAAGAGACACCTATTACCTGGATTCAATTGCATGAGTTTCGGAGCCTCTCAGGAACGATCGACGCCACCAAATCTGGAAGGCTTTACTGAGATTGGGACATTCAGTGCCATGCTTGGAGAAATACCCAAACCATTCTGTGAACAGCACATACTGCTGCTTCAAAGGAAGTGTAAGGAGTGTCTGACCCATGGCTTCTTCTAATGCTTTCATGTCCAAACCTTTTTTACATCTCTGTAACCAACTGAAGTCCAATAGCATTGGACCAAACCATGCCTGGAGAAGTGCTGCTCTTGCTTCTGAGCGGCAATGCAATTTTCTGGTTCCCATTGCAATAAATAAAATTGCAGAAACCCGGCTGAGCTCATATCTAACCATTGGAGATACACTCTTATGCATTTTAAGTAACTCCCCTTGATCTGCCCACATATCCACAAATTCCTCACCAATCTGCCGATCAAGGAGGATTTCCACTAGCCAATTGATGTTGTCAACCTGTCTGGAGATGCGTCCAATCAAGGGCTTACTTGTTTCCTGTTTCGCCATTGTTCCATGGGATATGATGTCAGAGGCTTCCTCCATGAGACTGATTAATGAACCTACACAGGACTGACAAACATCATAAAGGTCTTCCTTGTTGAGATCGTGTTGATCCTTCTCATACACTGAACTTTTGCAAAGGAGACCCTTAACTAATGACTTCAGTTCATTTCTTGCATTGGCATCAGCACAAGAGGTAATAGACCAAACAAGCTGTCTAGCTAAATTTTGTTGAGAACCTTCCGAGCTAAGCAAGTGGAGTCTAGCCAAAATGTCTCGACTTGTTGTCTCATCAAATTTAAACACTGTAAATAGATTCCTAAGTTTGTCCTCTTCTTCCTCTGTCCAAGGGACAGCCTCAAGGTATTTCAAACAGGATAAAACACCTTTAGTAAACATGATGCTAGCTGATACCTGGTGATAGTTTCAAAAGATCTTGTTAGATCAATAAGCAAACAGTTGAAGACATAGGGATAAAGCTGTTCGTAAAACACATCCTTATTTGCATTTTTCAATATGTGGCTACAAAAGACAAAAGTTAAGCCCCTGTACTGTAAACTTTTCTATCTTACAGTAATTAACTTACACAATCATTTTTCTAACGCCAGGCTGTGTAATAATCTAGAAAAGGGACAAGCCTAGTACAAGAAGTTGAAGATCATTATGTGGATAGCTGCTACAACTCCTTTGCTTTGAGCATTGATGCAGTGCCGATGGCCATTAGATCACTGGATTTGAATCTAGCAGACAGCTTTTTGATATTTTGATCAAATCCAATTGTCCTAATGGCTATAGGCATTGTGACAATGCTCAAAACATCGACATTCTAGACATCACCCATTTTATGCCATCCAACCTAGCATAATCTATGAGTTCAGCTCCTAACATCCTAATGTCTCCTAAATAGGGTTAAAAAGACAGATGCATAATTTATCTTTCTTCGAGATATACACACACACAAAAGTGTTTCTGAAAACGACACCTCTATCATAAAAAAGAGAGCAGAATCAATTTGGTGGGTGTATGACATTGCGGTAACAAAGGCAAAAAACTCAAGGTGTTTTCTTCATTCAACTCAGAAAAGTTTCAAATTGATGATCTCCCACCTTTACTCTTTAACATCCAGTAATCAACAATGAGTGATAATCAAAAAGTACTTGAACAAGAGACAAAGGCAAGTTTGACAAATTATTTTGGTATGTCACATGCCTTTGCAGTTCATATAGACAACTAAATCAATAATCTGGCCCACAATTCTATCCCAGTGAATATCATGAGCTATTTCTCAGCACTCCCAATTTACCCGCTGTGAAGCCTGCCCAAAATATTCATTGATCCATTGAGAACAATTCTATGTTGCAATCGAAAAATTGAGGTGAACCTACCTCACAGTTGACCTTAACCGCCTATTGAAGATTAAAGAGGTAAGCCAATATTCCAGCAAGCACACAAGGAAAACAGTGAACAGTTGCAATCAATGTGATTGTTCAATCTCAATCCTCCGAGCATGACACGAGCACATGCACACGGGACTCCCACCAGTGCATGTACGTGTGTCAAACACATACAACTGAGATTGGACAACGATGTCACAAGTGCTCAAAACCCCTAATAAGCAACTACAACATTAAGTGATCAAGTGCTCTAAATTAAAATAGGATAGCACTATTCTAACTCTTCTGGAACAATTGCATTACCCCCATACAAAGCAGGATTAAGATATAAGCCTACAAGGAATGCTTTGAACATTTGCAACTGATGAGACAGTCCAATCTCAACAATCCATTCATAAGGTGAGTCTGTGGCTCCAACATGTTTCCGCTTGAACACAAACACATATCATGCAGATATGACTGAGATTAAACAAACGCAATGCACCTATCCATAGCAATTCCATAAACACACAAACTTAAATGACCCATCCCCCCCACCCCCCCCCCCAAAAAAAAAAAAAAAAAATCAAAATAACATCAAAAAATTTCTCCAAAAAAAAAAAAAAAAACACTTAGCCAAAAACATAATATTCCCTATAACACACAGCATTTCCCCTAAAACCGTGAAAAAAAAAAAAAAAACCATCAAAACAAAGGCAAAAAACTAACCTCAAGTATATCAATGGCTCTATAAGCCCCAACCTTCAGTAACGTTTTAGTAATATCCTCTTCAAACATCATCTGAATTGTGTCCCTAAAAATTCCCAAATTCTCTACATCAGGCACTTCTATTCTACACATTTTTCTTGACAAATTACCACCATCCTCGTAACTATTACATTTCGACCCCAATTTTTTTCGATGTTCACAAATCAACCCCGCAAAAATTTCTGAATTCGCAATCAAGACCTCCGAATTCAACTCCAACACTAAACCCCCACCATTCTTCCCTCTCAAATTAAGCCTTACATCAAACACTGCCCCACCTGAATCCAACCCGGAACCCGACCCAAAATCTGAAAACGACCTCGTCTCATTCCTTCCCCTGAAAGACTCGGATTTCGCTTTTGAGTTCAAATCCAAAAGCGGCGACGGATCGGGTATGATTTCTCGGGTCGTGTCGGCAGTAGGATCCGAGTCAATTGGCGAGACGCGACCTGGAGAGAGGATTCTTCTCGGGTCGATCCGACCCACAAAATTTAACCCGGATTTGGGTGAGTTGGGGACTGAATGAGGACCAGGCTTAGAGACCGAGTTGTGGGGTTTCTTTTTCTTCTGGAAAGTGGGTTTAGTCGTGGGACGGTTCTCTGGGCTTGAAGGTGGTACAGCAAAGGAACAGCACCATGAATATCGCCGGCGGCGACACTGAGAAGTAGAACTCTGCCTTTTGTAAAGTGAGTCGGCCATGGATCAGAACTGAGTGATAGACCGAGTCAAGCCATAAAGAGAGAGTGAGAGTGTGAAATCGAGGAGTGAAGTATGGAGAGGAAAGGATTGTGTGTTTAAGAGAGATTCCTGTTTCCTGCTCTTTTATTTTTGTATTTATTTAATTTAAAAAGAGATTTTTTTTTTTTTGTTCTTGGGAATGGTGAAAGTCGAATATATTCTGTTAATGCTAGTTCTTTTTCGGTTTTGGGATCAAAATGGTGGTTTTTGTTTTTTTCTTGAGAAAATTCTTTGTTCGCAAGAAAAAACGGAGATGGTGATAAAGGAGAGAAAAAAGTGGGTTTAATTAAGGTTGGGATACTTGATTAAAGAGGGAGGGAAATGAGCTGGAGCTTTAATGGCATGGGGCTGGCTTTTTTGGATTTTTTTGCCTTGGTGGCGATGAATGGAAGGAAGGTAGTCCAAGGTATGAAGTGACTGTGAATGCTTGCTTGTTTTTTTCTCTTAAAACATTCAACTTGCTTTTGTTCAAATATTAATATTGGTATGTAATAGAGAATTTATTCTCATAAATATATCATGTAATATTATTTATATATATATATGTGTGTGTGTGTGAGAGAGAGAGAATTGCCCTTGTATCCAAATGACCTTGGACCGCTGCTTTTGATCTTACTCTTTCCTTTTGGTAGAATTGGACGCTTGACTCCAACTCAAAATTTTGATGATGAATAATTATCAAGTGAAACATTTTCACGTTTCTCCGGAAGTATATATCCAAATTTAATATCTTTCTCTAACAACAAATAGATAATAATAATTAAAAAAAAGAATAGAATTGACTAATTTTGACTCAATTTTGTGTTCTCTAAATGATAGTTGTTTAATATGATTAAATGGATATAAGAATTTATTTTCAGAATACTTGACATCGACGTTAACGAGTATTTTTTAATCATATTCAGAAATAAATTAGTTTTAAAATGTGTGGAAACTGACACGAGATTACTCTTATTATTGGAACTTAAAAAAAAAAACAACCAAAAAAAAATTGATATAACCTAAGCTTAATAGTCAATACCATGCTCCTAACCTTCTATATATTTGGCATATACGTAAGTGTCTTTACTCTTTTCTCTTTAAATCTCTTGCTTTCCTAGTCACTTGACAAAAGATTTCCTTGTTCACGAGATTATGCTGACTTGTTCTATCTTGTGTAAAGTGGAACATACCACAATATCATTAATTTTTAGAATAAATTATAAATTAATTCTTTTATTTTTCAAAAATGAATGAATTAGTCTTAAAAATTAATTATTTAATTTCTCTATTTTGAATTTTTTTATATATAACTTAATCTTTTTCGTTTTTTTTCAATTTATTTTGATTTTAATTTTAAAAAAATGAAAAAAAAATGAAAAATATGAAAGGATTGATGAGAAAAGATTATAGTTTATTAAATAAAATAATATTAATTAAATGAGATCAATATTGATTAAAAGACTAAATAATTAAAGTTTAAAATAAAAAACTAATTAAATCATTTTTTTAAAAAAAATAAAAAGAATAATTTAAAATTTTCTCTTAATTTTTATTAAAAGAATGTCATCTACCTTTTTGTTTTTCATTTGGATGTTTGGAATGGTGATGTCTCTACACAAAACAAAAGAATGCCTTCAACTGGGAAGGTTCTGTACTTTCTAGTTTTTGTTAATATGGTCCTTCATTATTTAATTTTCTTAGTACAGTCATTTTGCCGGTTTAACTTGGGAACATATCTTAAACATGCTATTTTCAGTGCCCAAATTTTCCAAAAAAAAAAAAAAAGTAAAATTAAGAAACCTATCAATGAAAACAAAAATGAAAAAGTCATAACTCTACTTGAACACATTGAACAAATTGAACAAAATCCATCAAGTATTTTAACAAAAAAAGACATATCATCCAATTGTATGGTACCAATTAGATTTTAAAAAAAAAATTTTCACCAAATTACATAGTTAAGAAAAAATTAGAATATTTTTTGCATAAAATAATAAAGCAAAACCTTTCATCGACTGCATTTTAAATGTTTCATGTATCTATCAATCAAGTTTCTTCGTCCACATCTATTAATTTTTCATAAAACTTTCCTCTAAACCATGATATAGATTGGTAAATCTTTACAGACTTAGGTAGAAGGAGCTGATCGAGGAATCTATCAAATATTAGAGATACAATTGATAAAAGTTTTATTTTGCGATTAAAGTGAGAAAAGGTACATAAATTAGGAACTAACTATTTTGAGGTTTCCCCATTTTACATGTATAGGATGCTGTGAATTATGCGAATCTGGGACGATGATATTGATAAATCGTTTGATAACCTAATATTTACCAAGAAAGGGGCCATATGTCCTCCTTCTTCCCCCTCCCCTCTCTTATGTATCCTTGTTATTTCCTTAACTTTTAGCCGACAAATTTAACTCAGAAAAGCGAATGCAACGACCGGAAACAAACGAAACCACCAATCAAATCCAAATTTAAAAAGAAAAAGACTTTGCATATCCCTGCATGTCCTCGCTAAAGTAGAGCAGTAGTCCATTAATGATTTGGATGGAATAACATGAAAGGATCATTCTAACAAACTATAGTCTTTTAGACTTTAACAAGCCTGTTATCCGTGCTATGGATTGGATGTAATAAAATTATTTTAAAATAAAAATTTTTATTTTTTATATTTTTCATAAAATTTTTTACTTAAAAAATATAATTTCTTCTTCTTTATGCATTGATTTTTAAATAAAACTTGTAATAATTTAAATTGAAATATTAATAAAAAATAATACTTTAAAGATACATTTTTTAATAATGTTTCTAAAAATAAAGTTACAATTAATATATAGACTTCTATAAAAATTAACTAATAAAAAAATAAATTTTTATTCTTTTTTAATGCTAATCAGAATATTATTTCTTAAAAGTATATACATTTGATCTATGTATATTTATTTATAAAAATATATTTCAATAAACTAGTCGATTATCTATACTACGCTGCAAGTCAAGTAAAATAAAATTATTTTAAAATTGTATAATTTTTAATTAATTTTTATTTATTTATTTAATTTTTATGTATTTCATAAATTTTCTACTTAAAAATATGATTTATTCTTCTTTATGCAATGATTCTTAAATAAAATTTTATAATAATTTGAAAAGATTATATTTTTTATAGACTTGTATAAAAATTATCTAACAAAAAAATAAATTTTTATTTTTATTTAATGCAAATGAGAAGATTATTTTTTAAAAGTATATATATATACAAAAAAAATCAATAATTTTATTATAAAAAATTGTATTTCCTTTAAAAAAATTATTTAAATTATTTTATGTCAAACAATTTGGTTCTATAATGTTTAAAAAATATTCATAGCAAATAGTTGGTGGTATGTGTAAAGAAGTATAGTTAATTTTTAATGAAACCAATGATTTAATATTTTTTCATATATAAATCTTGATCATACTTAGTGGATTGAGATAAATTTTTTAAAATATATTTTTAACTTTTTAGATTAAAGGTTAAAAATATATATGCGCAACTATCACTTTAAAATTCTAATAATTCATGATATATTTTATATCAATTTTTTTTAGCAATCATATTTTAAAATTTTATTCTAAAAATCAAATATAGAGAAAAATATTATATTTATCGATAAATAAAATTTTTTATAAGAAATGAAAAATTCAAAAGAATAGACTTTAAATAATAAGAATAATGTAATCTAAAATATATGTTAATTTTAAATTACAAAAAAAATAGTATATATATTTTATCCTCACTATGCTTGTGTGAAAAACACAAATAATAACGTTTAATGTTCCATAATTTTTGCCTAGAAATTCTTAATTAAAAAATTAAAGAAAAATATAACCAAGGAGCAAGCCTCCCTCGCATTTGGGCTTGGAACACCTAGCCCACGTAGGCCAAGGCAAAAAAAAAAAATGAATGTTTTTAATTTCCTATGACGTATGTAATTTTCGACAAACTCAATTTTGCAGGAAAATTTGCTTGAAAGTCAAGTTTTTTAAATTTCAGCCTATCAAAATTAAATTCAGTTCTATTTTTTTGTCCAAAAATACCTCAAAATCATAGAAATAATGTAAAAAATATAAATGTTTAAAACTTTAGAACTCATTTTAGTGTACATGAAATACACAAAAATTCAAACCAAAATAAAAGGATGCAAAATGTTTTTCAAATTTCAATCTACTTCCTCCAAACATTTTATGGATTACCGAAACGGATTATACTATTTGAGACGAACAAATTGATGGTAAATTCAACGGTCGAGGTGATTGGAATGGATCTCATTACCCCTCTTCTCTCTCTCCCCTCCTTTCTCTCTCCCTTTTTTCTCTCTCCTCTTAGCGGTAAGAGGCCAAACTTTAATAAAAATAAAGTTCGAGATTGAAACTAAAGTTTTTTAAAAAGAGGGACCAAAGTATAAATTTTTAGTTAAATAATGTAATTACACGGCGAACAAACGGTAGTTTTACACACTTTGCATAGTAAACAACCAATAAAATCACACACAATGAACAACAACTGAACAATATATGCACACTAAAAACATATTTTGTTTTAGTATTTTTACTAATTGCTTTCAATACTCTATCGAAGTTTGATAGTCTACGCTAGTACGAGTATGAGTTAATGGTTATTGGGGTTTCTCTACTCTTTTTTGTCTTAAATTTCTCTCTTTACTTTTTTTTTTTTTTTTTTGTATTAATGTTGTCCTTTTGTTAATTTTTGAGCTATTAGTGTTGAATTGCACCATTAGTGTCATAGAATTGTGACATATGTCAATTGTTTTTTCTTAATATCATCCCTAAACTCTTTTTTTATATTGAATTTTAAATAAATAAAGTTTGAAAAAAAAACCAAAAAAAGATGAAGATATATCTACTATTTTAACCATTTTTAGTGAATATTTTCAAAAAAATCTTAACAAAATTTATATTCATGCTTTTAAG